GGATTCCGTTCGGATCACAGCACCATCGATATGGTGTTTGCGGCTCGTCAGTTGCAGGAAAGTGCAGAGACCGACACCAGCCGTTGTACTCGCTGTTTGTTGATTTTATCAAAGCATCTGATACGGTGAACCGGGAGGTATTGTGACTGGTGTTGGGTAAGTCTTGTTGTCCGAGAAAGTTTGTAACTTCAAGTGAATGTCTGCACGGTGGTTTTCAGCCGTGGGTGCAGCTGATCGGACAGACCTCAGATGACTGTAGCTGTCTCTTGTACGAATCGAGGCTGTGTCTTAGCTCCTGGGCTGTTTAATATTTATCTTTATGCCACGACGCCTTGTAGGTTGGATGAGGCTTGTGCTTACGGTGTTGGTGTGGACCACCGTATGGGTGATGTGCTGCTGAACATCTCCGGTTTCGGTGCGAGAACCTTAGTCTGTGAGACAACTATCCGTATGCTGCTGTTCGCTGACGACTGTGTGTCGTTTGCACACAGCGCGGATGTGTTGCAGCACATGACTAGTGCTCCGGTTACGACAGCGGCCAAATTCGGGCCCACCATGAACACAAGCAATACTGTCTGTATCTTTCAGTCTTCACTCGGAATGGAGTGCGTGGGCCTGCCCTAAATCCAGATTGCCGAGTCAGTGTTGGAAAGTACTTCAAGATTTTGTTACCTCGGGAGCATAATAACAACCGACCTGCAGATAACGGGCGAACTGCGCATCCGCGTATCGAAGGCGGCTGCTACATTTGCTAAGCTGCAATGTCGTGAGTGGAACAACCGCCAGCTCACCATCGGGAGGAAGTTACTGGTATAAAAATCTATGCTGCTCTCCGTTCTTCTATAAGGAAGTGAAAGCTGGACGATTTGTTGGGAGGAGGTCTGTTATCTGGAGCGCTTCAGACAACAGTTTCTGCGCCCTATTTGGTGTATCGGCTGTAGAGACCGAGTTGCACACACGGAGGTGCTCCGACACAGTGGCATGTATGCATGGACTGAGTTATTCTTCTGAGTCACTTGTGGTGGCTGAATCATATTCGCTGCATGGATTCGACCCGGATTCCGAAACAGCCGCTTTGTGGCCAACTGAGTGAAGGGAATCGACACGTGAGAAAACCGATGTTACGTTACCAGAACATGATCAACGAGAGCCTATCACGTCCTGATGTTGATTGCAGGTGTTAGGAATCGAAGGCGGTTGATCGGCGTGTATAGTGCCATCTGACCAAGAAGGCAATTGCTGAGGTGCAATAGAAAGCCCTCGTGCATGCGGAGAAGCAACGGCAGTTGCGGAATCGACTGGCGACCATGATGTGTACCCCATTGAAGTCGGTCGCCTGGTGTTATAGCACACGCGTCCGCGAGTGCCTTAGTCAGGTAGGTGTAATGAGCCACCAGCGAGACAATTCAGGACCAGCTTCGAAACGACGACGGGTACTGCTGAGTACGTAAACGGAACCGGCGCAGCGTTGGTAGGGACACTGCATTCTATTTGCTAACCGCATACTTACGTGCTGAGTTTATTTATTTCAGGTGATTTGTTTGCCATATTTTATTACTATTTACTTTGTTACCTCATTTTAATGTCTATCTGAATAACCTTCTATTTACTTACGCACGTCGCTTAGACAAAAGGTGGTTACTTTCTTCAAATTTATTCGCCTTTGTTGCGAATGGTTTTTCTTTATCTCTCCATCCGCCATCTTGAATATATCGCGGATTTGTTTATAAAGAATGTTTTTCACATGGTAATTTAGTGAAGACTAAAGCCGATGTATCCGCATGCCTTATCCGGTTTATTTGATTTGATATCATCATTCCAAGTGGTTGGTTGTCGCTTGACAACCCCGGTGTGGCTGCACTTCAGGTGTATGTTGACCATGTGTCTATTACCCACCACCTCATCTATACTGGCTCCAGGAGACCGTTGGTCGTTGCTGGAGGGGATGGAGTGCATGGTCCTCGTGACCATGTTAGGCTCGAAGTGTTCTTCTATGCACATGATTTGTGTGTGGAGCGGGCTACAACCTAACCACCGCCATGCGTGCGCTTGATTCTCCAAACCCATCATGCTTGTAGATGCCCGTGAGGGAGTGTGGGCCGGCTCCGTTGATGAAATGTGACTCCCATCCACGTGCCTCCCGGTCGCATTCCTTCGGATTTACACCAGATAAGGGTGTGTGGGTGGAACTGTGGGTGATGCAACGCACGCCACCCATGGTCCCTCTGTAGGCGCAGGCGTCCTGTGGTTGGCCACAGTGACAGGCAAACCCGAAACTGGATGCCGCCAACCATACCGGCGATTGGTTCTTGCAAGTCAGCTTTGAATTGTTCGTTGAGTGAATCTGGAATTTCGACGGCGTGCAGGTTGAAGTCCCTCAACAAAAGAATGTCATGGTATGACTGCGCTTGGATTCGTTTCTTAATAGACACCAGGTGGTGATCCATGTTAGAGTGGATCTTAGAGGGCGGTCTATTATGGCAAGTAAGCACATATCACCAGGTTTCAGACGCAGGTGGCACCAGAGAGAATCTACTAGTCGCGTATCTGCATCGTCTATGATTTCGATATGCAGGTAATACAAGAGCACACCCCCTCCTCTGCTGGATCGATCGTTTCGCAAAAGAATCATGCCAGGCAGGGCTATCTCGGCATCCGTGACCTCAGTATTCAGTAATATGTTACAGTTGTCGTGAAGATATCCCAGGGAGTGGGAGCGGGACGAGTGCGAAGCTCGGGTCACGTACTAGGAAGAACTTGAGCATTGGTATACAAGCAGGTGAGGGTCACAAGGGTCAGCGTTATATTTGTGGATACGGCTTCTTGGTGGGTGGTTATGCCGACCCTTGTGGTTAGGTCCAGTATCTCAGTGATAAAGAGCTCTAAAACAACGTCCCAAGTAAAGTGCTGCTACCTGACATCAGGAAAGTCAAAGTTCTTCAACACTAAGCATCTGGTTGTCAAAATAACAAAAAAACCACCAGCTGTGCGCCGTAACGGCGCTTCGCTGTCATGTGACCACTACCAGTCGCATGGATCTAATCAAGAAGTCCCCTTGAAACACTATCGTGGCTTCTATAAACCAGTGCCATTTTAAGTTTCACTCGGGATCTACGCAAATTTAGCACGAGCGCCTCGACGGAAATTATACGTATTTAAAATAGTTAATGCAGACTTAACGTGCGGAGCAGCGCCACCTCCGCGACCGTCGGAAATGCGGGCTCACCTCGGCAGCCTGGTAAGTATGCTTCACTCTTCATCATGTCGTTTAACAATCACGTCTCAGCGAACGCGAGAACATATGGACTACAGCCATCAACAATGCAGCTGAGTTCGCAAAGATTATTTGTATTCTACGCACATTACTGAAGATCATCTGAAGGAAACATTATAGTTTTGGGATGAGCAACACTATAATGTTTCCATTTTGCTTACGGTGTTTGTGATCGGAATGACGGAGGTTCACCTCAAGTGAACCGAGGTCACAATAGAGATTGCTTGTAGCAACCCAACCACCATCGGATTCTCCAAGTTCAACTTTGCATCACCTGATGGAATCAGGATTGTGAACCCCGGATCATACTCCACCAGAATAGGTTTTGACGGGGCGGAAATGACCACGCTGCTAAGCACCCGAAAGCCTTTGAAGTGAAGACTCTTCTGTCCCGCTTTATGATGGGCTTTAAGGTTTTTGACAGCTGCCGCCAATTTCAACCTATTTTGCAGAGGAATGTCTAGTTGCACAATGACACCAATATCCTTAATTTTGAAGGCGAACCTCAAGACGCCTAGCATTCGTTTAGTGTGGACCGAACAACACGTAATAGGCGAGTTCGAGAGCCGGATCAGTCGATTGAGAACTACGTTATCTAGTAGGTTTTTATCCAGTAACACCGAGAAGCTCGGGTGGCAGTACCTTAGTAAAGCAGATTTAAAACCACTGAAGGTCGTTTGGCCTAGCACTTTTAGAACAGCAGCAGTGGTCTCAGTGACATATTTTAAATAATACGACAGCCAGACCTAAAACACACCCGTACCATAAGATATACAATAGGAACGTGAAGTTAACGATTTCGATGTAGGGTTTCTGGATTACTAACTCATCCCAAATGAATTGTTGCACATTCTCCTCAGTATTTCTCAGAAGATATCTGTGCGAGCTACGAAACACCAACGCCACTTTAGAATAATTTGTACTTAACTATCTCCATGTATCCTGATAGGTCTAGATAACGATATTCAGATAAGTTAAGGCATGTTGACCCCTAGGTTTTGTGCAGTCCAGGAGGACAAGGAAAGCATGGTTGACCAGAACTGAAAGCAAATCATGAGGATACGTTAGCGAATACTGCACATCTAATAACTCCTAAGAGATAACCTGCTATATAATAAATTGTGTGAAATTTTAGTGATCACAAGGATAGACTGTCGCCTGGACGTTGCCCTGACTATATATATTAGTGGAGTCATTGCTGCTCCAGTTAGAGCCCCGTTGTGCGAAGTGCAGTGTTGCTATTGGGCAATGCCCATCTCTTTACCCCATTTATTTCTATTGATTAGTTTCCTTCACGGTATGACAATTCTCCGCATTATAATAAACCTCCCACCCGCTAAGTCTGAAAGGGACAGCATGAATAATAAATAATGTGTCCGCTGGACGCTGTGACGGCGCTTCGCTGCCGTGCGAGCACTACCGGTCCCACGCTAGCTGAGTGTACCGCGAGGACGCCCACCCCTACGCAGATTCGAATCTTCGCCGCAACAGTACGAGACAAGATCGTATGAGGGTGAAGTGATGGTCCAAATGAAGATGATTTCGCAACATATGAGTTGCAAATAGGACCAGCGACACGCAATTGAGTGCGATTGTCGTTGGCACCACAACCCCATCGTCTACCTTACGGGTGGGTTACTCAAATGCCTGTGCGATACTTCAGATCAGCGCGCGCCGATTTCACTTCCAATATGTTCACTAATTCGATGTTCTTCCACCTTTATAGATGGACGCAGGGTATCAAAGGGTTTCAGTTTGGATTTATAAATGATCATGTACTATGCGTCCGCAGTGGACCTACGGTCAGGTTTCAAGACCTTCAAAGTCAAGTATGCAATGTTTTTCGTCTCCGCACTAATAATCCCACATCCTTGGTGGTCCACCCTTTGGAACCATACTTCGCAGTCTTCGAGGTTTGTCAGTTAAACCCAAAGGTTTTCGTTTACCGATATCCGAATTTCGAGGAAACTATACTAACAGGTTTTCATATCATCATAAGATATTTTTCATCTCATCTTAAGGATCGGGCGAGCTGGAGCTTCAACAACTTGTGTTTTCCAGTTCCTCATATCTAGCAACAATCTCTGGGGTCCCCGACTTTCTGTTGAGCTTGTGGTTAGTTGTTACTACCGCTTCTATAAACTTCTGAAGGGACTTCAAACAAAATTTACTCTTGTGTCAAGCACACCTGAATAGTTGTGCACTCACTACCGTCAGTTTCTGTCCACTCAATTGGCGTCTGATTGTGGCCACAGACTTACGCTATATCCATGTTTGGTATGTGGAAACGTGCAATCAGATCACGATGCTACGTTCCAGGTTAGTTCTTCATCTCGGCTCTTCAAACGGCTTCCAGATCAACGCTGTTACCGGCCCGCTCGGTGCAAGTGGGATTGTACCATGACCCAAGTTTGAAGGCCGACCCAAAGCAAATTGAACCATGTAAAGACAAGAACAACTTGTACCCACAACTACCGGAGAGTGCAATTTCAGGCAAGTGTGGTCATGTTATTCATTATCCCATCTCCCACTATATCTCCAACGTATAGGTGTGACGGAAGAAAAAGAACCAGAGTATAATGATTATATGGATGATACGGATCGCGTTATCTGCGTTTCCCAAACTTGGTCGAACAATGAACTGGTTTTCATTGGTTGCAAATACGGCGAATTGCTACTGGTTAGTGAGTCAAAGTGTGACTATTGAGTGAAATCCATTCTCGTAGGTAGATCCGAGCTCGCTTTCCATAAATGTGCTTTTAAACCCATTGTCGCGCCGCGGCTTGGCTCATGGTAAGTTAGTGGCTGAAAGCGCATGTAACCTTATCATATTCAGAGTCAACAACCGACGATCCAACATCAATGACAAAGACCTCGGAGATCAGCATATCAGTCTGCAACCAAAGTGAACCTCAGACCCAAGACGCCAGTTGTGGTCTCTCTTTGCCACTCAAGTGCCTAAGCTTTCTGATATTTGCCAAACAGGGTCTCTACAGCGCTGGAGAAGATGGCACACTGCGCGTTATTGGACTGAATGCAGAAAAATCTCGTACTCCTGTAACAACGAAGCTACCAGGGTTAACATTAGAAACCCAAGATTCCAAAGCTATCCCTCAGCACATGTGCATTCGGATTGTGTCCTGTACAAAAGCATTTGTCTTTCGGAACCCATTCAACTCTGACGGCCAAAATGAAACTTTGAAAATCACAGGGATGGCAGTCTCACCATCTTACAGTTTGCTGGCTTTGACTGCACGTTCCGGACAAATGGCTATTCTCAGATTACCTGAGCATAAAGAAGATTACGGAAAGCACTTGGACCCTCAGCTATGTCTGGCAACAAGCGGCGAAGCTTTCACTGGGTTTGGTGTTCTCGGACCAGACAACAAAAGCATCTGTGCGGTAAGCCATTTATTTGTTAAGGATGAAATTCGGTTGTTTTTTCTCAAGTGTATGTGCCAATTTCCATTTACTTACCATCCTGTTGATCATAACGTGTTAACCAACGCTCCATCTCAATGGAACAACGGTTAAAATACTCATGTCTAACACGTCCCATGGGGTAGCCCAGCTGAAAGTAACAAAAGCAGGCAAAAACATGTCAGGACATTTGAGTGCGTGCGAGCGAAACCACAAGGGCGTTTCCACAGCGGCATATATAATTTCAAATGATTGGAAGTTGAAAATATATATATGCATGCGGTAAGTGACCTCCTAACAAAATCAAACTATATAGAGCAGTATAAGTGACGTAAAGAGTCATGAGGTTAAATGCTGCTAAGTTAGAGGAAGAAATCAATAGTAGTTCCCGCAAAGTTGCATAAAAGGTCCAAAATTTTGCAAAATAAGTCCAAAATGTTGTAAAACCCTGTGCGATTCGCCAGCAGTTCAGAGCCAATCCTCTGACCTTAAGTGTGTTCTCATTGACCGGATGCCAAGGTTCGATACGTTAGTCTGGGAAGGTGAGCGCGCTGCTCGTTGACTAGGTGAGACTTGTGAATGAACCTTAGGGGCATGCACTTCGATGGTGCAAAGGGATTGTATGCGTCCCCATCACGTCCGAAACGATGGATCACAATTGGTCTGAGAGCAATCAACAGCTGGAACATAAGCGCACGACCGAAACCATGTCTACGATACTAACGTCGTCGGCATACCTTCTCACGTTCGACAGAATACCTCATCAGATATTCGTGACCGAGTTTTGGGCGCTTTCGTCAACGGTAATGGCTGGCAGCTGGTGGCAACTGTGAACAACGTCAACTATCAAACAGCTCACTCCTGGATTCGTCGTTCTCTTGATCAGGAGCCGAGTACCACGCAGTCGCGCGGTCGTAAGCGGATTCTGTCGGAGAAAGACGTAGATGACATCCTAGATTGGATCGCAAGGGACTCAACTCTTACGCTACGGGAAATGCGAGTACGAGTACGAGCAGAAATGGACAAGGACATTTCGAAGTCAACAATCGCACGGCACCTAGATGGTTACTTGATAACTATGAAGAACATCTAGAAGGTTCCCGAGGGAATGAACAATGAGCAAACCAAAGGAATACGCAGGGAATTCGTTCAGCAATTTCTCCAAGTTGAGGGCGATGGCAAGTTCTTCATTTGGATTGACGAAGCGAACTTCAACCTTTACTGCAAACGTACTCGTAGTCGGGCGCCCAGAAGAGTGAGGACGTGTTGCAATGTTGCCAACAGCAGAGGCCACAATTTGCATTTAATCGGTGCACTTACGATGGAAGGGAAAGTGTTGATGACCACCCAGGGAGGCTCGTTCACACGTCCCCTATCTCTCGAATGGCTACGAAACTATTTAGACAACCTGAAACGGGAGATGGAGCTCCGGCAGGTTATCGTGGAATGTGATAATGCACCGTGTCACACAGGACTGGAAGAACTGTCGTCAGTAGATGAATAGGGTGGAGTAACCATACTGAGATTGAGCCCATAACCTCCGTTCCTCAATCCGATCGAGTATGTTTGGCAGATGCCTTAGAACAGCTATTAGACATTCATTTATTGTGAACGAGCTCGATAGCTGTTCTTTACTCTTCCTATTTTCTATTTCTTGATGGTTGTCTAAACGTTCTACTGGGTTAGTCCGATTTGCACACCCACGTCATTGTTAATGGACGCTCATCGTCATGTCCTTCTCAGCAGGGCCATTTGCAAGAGCATATTCTATTGGTTTCTTCTTCTCATCCCTGTTCTATTTGGTTATGTTAAAGGAATATTTAGTTGTCACACGATTATTGTACTAGTTTTTAATTTTTGGATCTGCATTTCTTATTCTCCTTTGTTTCGGGACATTTGTTTAAACACTTCATTCCGTTATTCGGATTGGCCAGTGCCCGTCACTGTAAATAGACGTTCGCTTTACGCTTGGAGTCCAATGATGCTATTTTTAAGGACATATGCGATTCGCTCTTGAGTACACGGTTGCTTAATCGCCGTTGCATTTGACGTTTTTCCTTCAGTTGGTTGGCTCAAGTGTGCTTTAGTAGCTTCCCTTCATTTCACCCTAAAACTATATAAGCAACTGTGATTTCATGTATACAAGTCTCTTTCTGGCTCGTCTTGGACTTCTTCTTGCGGTCGTGGGTTGAAGACGTCAGCGGCGACACAACAAGGTGGTTAACGCCAGAGTGAAGAATGAGACGAGAGTGCACTACGAGGAACTTCTGGCCGGGGATCCCCAGAAACTCATGAAGCAGATGGAATGGAAGCTGCAGTTCCTTGAAAGTATTGCCAGAGTAGTCACCAAGGATATCAGCGTTGTGGGATGTCGTAATGCTATTCGACATATGCGTGTATATTTTCCTAATTGTCTAGAAAATAATGACATGTTTTGATCACGTTGCTGGCCTATTTTTTACGTATCTGGTTGTATAGCACGTTACTGGCAGCGCGTAGGGATGTGTGAGTATTCACAGTGTTTTCAAAATATGTTTGCACAAACGTAAATTTGTGTGTTCGTACGGGGGTTGAAGTGATATCTGATGTCTAGCGCAAGAAGTGACACGGGACTGGCTTCCAGTGAGCCATGCCCGAGTGATATGTTCAACTTATGGTCCTTTTCGTGCTGGTATTCGCTGCGCCGTACTCTTTCATGATCAGCCTGAGATAATGTAGCTACAGCTTTTTGTTCGGAAAACTAGGATGTTTGGAAGGCGTTTTGTAGGACCAAGTGAGCTTGTCGGGTGAAGCAACCGTCAGATATATCACAGTATGGGGATATCAGCGTGGATAGTTGAACAGTGATGAGTAAGGAATTACTGCGCACGTCATGTCAGGTCTTTCCAAGAGTGAGAGGAAATGATAGATGCGAGTTCGCAAACACGTCCATTGCCAAACAAGATGTCGTCATTGAAACTGAACGAATGAATCGCGCGTTTAATAGAAACCATCTCTGTGCGATGTTTGTCCATTGTATTTGAGTGCAGTGTCGCGTTAATTCGTTACCCGATTGGAAGTTGGTCTGTCAAGTTCGGAACCCACATCAGCCGGTTCGGAAGATGTACTGCGTGCCAGAAAGGTCCGAACAGCTGTCCAGTACGACTTGGATACTGTCTTGATTGTTCGGATGATCCCACGTTTGACCCAATAGCATGTGTAAAATGATGGGGTGAGTTGGCTTTGATACAGTGGCATAGCAACTACTTTTGTTGTCCGTGGCGGAAGTACAATTGTCGCCGCTCTCCTTGTTGTAAAGTCCGCAATTGAAATGGCCATCCAATATTTCATTTCACATAACAACAACCAAAGATTTAACTTTAGAGTGCTGTCTTGAATGCAGCTATTTGAATTGTTAAAATACTCGTGTTCCAAATATACTAGCACACTTCTCGTGCACTACTTGAAGACGCTGGCATCCGAGCTGAATAAGCGCCCATCGAACGCAACTGAACATCACTGGTCGAAAATCATGCAGACTTTGCTAGCAGAGGGTATATCTTAATGGGGCAAATCAAATCGCCAACCTGGACATTGGGGCAGTACGTAGTCTCATAAACTTATAGATGCTTGCCAACGTGCTCCGGCTGATAGCGAACACAAGGAGCCTCGCAAAGATTTCAGGGCGAAACTGGGTGCTAACCGGAAAAGGGACCGGGAAGTCTGGTGGCCGAGTGGTCTGCACGCCCCGTTTGCAATCACAAGGCCACTGGTTCGAATCTATTTTCCTGGCTTGCTTTTTCATCCTGGATGTCTTCTCGGTGTTCACCCAGTGTCTGAAACCCCCGTCGAAAAAACTATCCCGTTGACTAAGTGTTTCCCTGAGCCGATACCGTGGACCGGATGATCAAGTGTCACGATAACTGATCAGCGCTTGAATTCTGGTGTCATTGGTCACAAACGTCATTGCCTGTCGTGCAAGTGCGAACTACTGCCAAGCAGCAGGATTATGTACGGCACATATATCTATCAACACGACTTAGATGCACAAGAATTTGTTACTTCGACTTTTATACCACTTATCGAAATGATTCTACGTTGTTAAATGTGGTACTGACAGAACATCAGATACAGACAATTGAAATTTTAAGGTCATTACTACCATCTACCTCAGCTCAGGAAATGTAGCTTGCGAAACCGCAAATTTCTCACAATTAGGGTTTTCAGACTGCAGCCGTGCAAGCATCAGAACGCTATAAAATACTCACTCTGAAGATATCTTCGATGCACAAGGATACGTAAATAATAATGCTGCCGTTCACATACGCTATGTGGTGCATTCCCTAGCTCGCACCCTTGATCCTTGGGTTTACTGTGGAAATGTTGTGGCATTTACACAAGTACCGACAATTATCTAAACTGCACCCAGGACGCACTGTCTCCATTAGCGACGTGTGCAGTTTTGTCATTATTTCAGTTGCAACATTTGACCGTAGCTTAGCCCGGCCAGCGGGACATAAGTTGATGATATTTAGCATTATCAGAAGAAATTTTGGAATTGTAGAAATTGGATTCTAGATGCGCAAACCATAACAACGGGTCATTCTTTCAAAAAGGATGGGAGGCTAGCTCTACGGTCCTAATCACGTACGTAGTTGGTTTATAATCAGGACTATTAATCGTGAGAAATGAATAAGTATATGCAGCAAGTGAGAAGACAGAACGATCGAGACTAATGAAGCAAAGCTACTGGAACGAGCTCACCAGAATGAAAACTCAAAATGGCGGACGGCGTGTTCCTGACAGGCGTCCCCAACTATTGGGTGGAGCCTGGGATACGAGTCGGTAATCAATGACACGTGAGACCCGTGTCAAATACGGAAGTTGGAGGCGACTGAACCCAACGTATATTGTGCAGGCTACAAAAGTAAGAAACGAATCAGCCAGAGAGAGAAACGCTACAGCAAGCTACTCACCAAAACGCTTTGTGTCAACGAATGTGCAGTCAGTGAAACAAGTGGATGTTTTGAGGGTTAAATGAACCGTGAAATCCAATGTTGCAAACTACTGAAAGAGCTTGTTTTCCGGTGCACTACACCTTCGAAATGTTGAACAAAATGCTTTCATCCGCAGTGGCCCATGTTTATCCAGCTGCTAAGTCAACACTTGTTGCTGAAACAAGACGTTTAATTCCTCAACACCTAAAGGACAAACTTCTAGTTCGGTCAGAATCTTTCCTCATAAACCAGTTCAC